CGTCACATGCAGCCTGATTTGATGCATTCTGTATTTGAGCTTGTAGTAATTCATCCAACGCTTCGCGAGATACATTCGTTGTGGATAAATGCTGTTCGAAATGAAGTATTTGCAATGCAGCAGCAGTTAGTGGATGTAAGCCCTTGCACCGATTAATAAGCATGCCGTCCAAGTAGCTATTCATTGATCCACCGGCTAATAATTCTGCTTGAACTAGAATTTCCACTAATCCACTAGAATCGATCGTTTTGAAGAAAGCAATTTCTATGTGAAATGCTCCCAAATTTACAAAAACTTTGTCTCTTTTTATTGAATCTGCATAGCCATTTTTGCTATTGCTAAATCTTATGTCACGGTAATACGTGGTTGGCTACACTTTTCAGCTATTTCGTTCGCTGTTTCTTTAACGATTGCGTAAGATGTCGGAGAGTTATTTATCGGAGATAGATACTCGATCTTTTGCTGTTCACTCCCATCACTTGATGTCATTCAGTTATAGCCTAATCACATTGGAAGTGAATTTATTCGAGATAATGACAATACCCATAATAAATCTACCTCTACATACTCGTATATCCAGTGTATTAGTAAATGAATCTACCGGCAGCAGCTGCAAACTAGCGGTTGGTTTAGAATAGTATGGTCGAATTTCACGTACAATCTCATTAAAACGCCTCCTTTTACGCGCGGGTGATTCACTATTTACATTGTCTCGAACTTCACGTATTTCAGCTGTTTCATCACCGGAATCATCTGTTGCCAGGAAACTGATAAATAATACCAACCGTGTCATGCATAGTATCTTTTCCGGAAGTGGTGTGGACGAAGCGATCGAAGTTGTCAAATGCTAAGTGCGTACAGTGTCCACTCGATGATTTTATGCCGGTTAGTATTACATTATTATCTTGGACCGACGTATACGTCATTTCTGTCTCTAGTTCTTCGGCCATATTGTACCCAATAGTATGGCCATATCTATTGAGACTTCATTGCCAGTCCAAGCAATAAACTTTTTGCTGGTTTACATCTACCTTGGGTGACTGTATAAATTATGTCACTACATAATGTGATATGCTATTTTGACATTAACTTGGTTACGATTTTCCTCGGAAACGTTTGGTCCTAGAATGAGACTTTCCATGAAATAAAATAGCACTTCAGGAATTTCACATTCTCCGCGAATAATGTCATGTCGGCTGAGGAGTCGCCGAGGATTAATATTCTTCATGCACTTTCTTAAATAATATGCTACATCTTCAAATTTTTGCCACTTCTATATCTGCATGATACACAATTTTTTGGCTACGAGGACCAGCCAAACTTCTATAACAATACGGTTACCGAATTTTTTTTAAATTTTTTTTTTTTTAATTTCGGGTCGATAATCTTGAAAGTAGCCCACTTTTCTTTGGATTGATACGCTGCGTAACAGGACTGATAATAAGCAACAGTTTGATTTGTTACTTTTAAGAGGATGTTGGCATCATTGAGACTCTCGCCCTATCTTTTATTTATTGTACTGCTTCTTCAGTTTTAGCAAATCTCAGATTGAGTATCTGCTTCCCACACTGTTTGCGTTCATGATTGCAAAACAGRCAAGTGGTTTTGCTACATGTCGATGGTGCTGAGGTTGATGGCTCCTAAAACAATAAAAAATATTTTTTAAATAAGATAATGCCCGAAGAAAAAAATTCAAATTAAAAAAAAAACACTTCAAAAGTCAGAATATTTAGTACCTCCTTTACATTTGTAGAAATCTCAGCCGTGGCATCAGCATGACTTTCTTCACTCTCAGTACCTGTTGCACAGGAACATTAGACACATCTAATTAGACATTAGATACAATACCATTTGAAGCTTCACCAGCGGTAGAAATATCAACAGGCATCTGAAAAAAATAATTTTTTTGATTAAATACTAGAATTTAATACATAATTCCCTGGCGGACTCGATGAATTATAATTAAATTCCACGCGTTACTTAATTAGAAAAATAAAATATATAAAATCTGTTTACTATGTAAATTTTAAAAATTTATTTATTATGTACTTACTGCATGTTCTGTAGCGAAAATATTAAATTCTTCACTATATTTAGTTTTTAATACAGTCACTTTTTTATAACACGTGGTATGATAACCACGAAATGAACAAATGCGTTGGTTAGTTTAACATCGTTGTATTTAAAGTTTTTAAATTTTCGAAAAGCCAATTTCAATGAACAATTTTTGAAAGTTTCATCGTTAAATTACATTACAGAGTCACTTAAATCCCACAGAAAATACTTTTTAGCCATTTTTGAACAAATTTATTACCAAACAAGTAATATCGACACGCAATAGCAGCACCTTTTTTCTAATATGAAAATAGGGACTAATAATGCATAACAACAGTTGCTCCGAAATAATGCTCAGCATTTACTGTAGTCTATCGCTATCTTTCTTAATTTCATAAACAAAAAGCATGCGCACTCCCCTTCTTTCGACGAAGGAGCGACCCACAGCTGCAATGCTGGATTCAGCATCAAAACTGAAAGGTTTGTCACGTTCCATTTCTCTATCATTATAAGAATATACACAAGAAAGTGTGTGTATACTTACTTCCATTCTTCTTATTTTCTTACCCGATATTAAGTCTGCCACGAAGTTTTTAGCACCCAGAAGAAATGCCAAAGACCCTTTAATATATACTACATACTTATCTTTAAATATAAAAAATTAGAGATGAGTGATATTGTGATTTTTCAATATATGTGATTTCAGTGATTACTATTTTTAAATCACTGGGATTTTATATTGCTATTGCCATCGACGAATTACCGTAGTGTAGTATGATTTCATTGTTTCTATTAGTAAAGCAAAAGTTAATAACTTTATATTAAGAAATGTTACATTATTACATATACATGTATCTTTTGAGCTGGTAGTTCCACTGTAGGATGTCTATTCTGTTCTCACGTTATTTTTAAATTTGTAAAAGATGTTTTATATGAAATTTTTGATTTGCAAACATTGCATTTTGCATATATTTCATCTACCACTTCAAACATCTGCTATACTTCACTTCGTTTCCTTGATACATTTTCAGCCATTATCAAAAATTATAAGAACGTAAAACTCAAAACTTCAAACCTCTATGACGAAAAATAGCATATACGTATATACGTATATATACAATACACTGAAGAAAGTTGCTACTTTTCTGCTATTTACTATTGTGATCGCATGTAATGTACTATTCAACAATCACAGTTTCACAAGCTTATTCTGACCTGCTATCGCAATCGCAATTCATAGGTTCGAACTGGTATCGCAATTCACAGGTTCGAACTGTTATCGCAATTCACAGGTACGAATTGCTATCGCAAATCACAGTTTCGAAATGCTATCGCAAATCACAGTTTCGAACTGCTATCGCAAATCACAAATTCGAACTGCTATTTATAAAATGTGATCACAGTTGCGATATGCGATTTTTCATATCGCTCATCACTATAAAAAATAAGTGTCACGTTGTGAACTGATTTTATTAAAATTTAGCACACTGTGTATAGTTCTAACCAACTTAGAAAATAGGATATAAGAAACCATTTATAAATGAAAAATGCAGTAAAATCTCTATTAAATGGACACTATATTAGGCAACAACTCCATTAACTGGACATAAAGGCTAGTAACATTGAGAAGGCAGCCTTAAATTCTTTACTTTTTCTAATGAAATTTCTTTATATGAATACATTCAAAATTAATCCTGAAGTACAATCCCTTGCATTCTTATACCGAGAAAAATGTTTTCGCCTTTATTCGTTCACTGTTTTTTATTATATGAATAATAGTATAAAGTGAATACCCCAGCAACGCGTGGCCGCATCCACGAGTACTTAAATATAATATAAAAGATCAGCAAGGAGAGCTGGTCACTATACGTATAGCTGGCAAAAAACCTGAACGATCAGGATCAAGTGCTTGTGTGGAAAACTTTTTCATTTAACGAAATCTTCTTCTTTACTGGTGTAGACACCGCTTATGCGATTATAGCCGAGTTAACAACAGCGCGCATGTCGTTTCTCCTCTTTGCTACGTGGCGCCAATTGGATATTCCAAGCCAGGTCCTTCTCCACTTGGTCCTTCCAACGGAGTGGAGGTCTTCCTCTTGCTCTACTTCCCCCGGTGGGTACTCCATCGAATACTTTCAGAGCTGGAGTGTTTTCGTCCAGTCGGACAACATGACCTAGCCAGCGTAGCCGCTGTATTTTAATTAGCTTTACTATGACATTTTGGTCGTATATACATACAGCTCATCGTTCCATCGATTGCGATATTCGCCGAGGTCAAAGCGCAAAGGACCATAAATCTTTCGCAGGACATTTCTCTCGAAAACTCGCAACGTCGACTCATCACTTGTTGGCATCGTCCATGCCTAACCTAACGTATCACATTTTTTTTTAAAGGTTGACGTTTTTTACTTTCACTCAATATAATAAATTTTGCCTCATCTGTCGATTTAATATAACACACATGTATCTCATTTCAAGATGTTTATACTCTTACAACATGCTGCTACAGAGCATAATAGTTGTTTCACCTCACGGTTGTACGTATCACCTAAAACTAAGCAAAATAAATATAGGGTTATAAATATATAAGTGATCAGGATAAAGATATCAGTGGAAATCCTCTGCGCAGACTGTAAAAAATTTAGATATCTTGAGAAACCTTGGAGGAGGGTTGGTATTGCATATCGGCGTTAGCCGACCACTGCCACGCACTCAAAACGCCATTAAACGAAAACATTTTTTAATATGTAGTTTTGTCAACACCTGAATATGTTGAATATATGAATTTCCTTGGATTCTTGCAAGTTGTAAGAGTATGAAATATTCGGTTACACCGGAGCTTAGCTTTGTTTTCACTTCTTTTTGATGTTTTTTAAGTGCATAAATATATATCTGAATTAATCTTAGACTACATTTGTTCTCATGTTTTTTTATACTGTTTACAGATAATTCCCCAAGTGACGTTCTCAAATAGATGGACGGCTAAGATGACTAACAATAAAAAACATGGTCATAAAATGAAAATCGGTTATAAGAGAAATCTGCCAAGCGGAGTGATAAATACAAAACATACTAAAAGGATTTATTGCAAAGAATACTCGCAACATGTTTTATGATAACAAAAAAACTTATACTAAAAGACAGATACACATAGTTCCTATTTTAAAAAAAAAAAAATAATAATAATAATAAAAAAATTAAATAAAACAAAATAACATTAGTAACGTAATTTAAAATCTAACACCTCGATTTATAAAGATGAAAATATTACATTATTCAATATAAAGCGGCTGATATACACGTGGAAATATACATAGAAACACACAAAATTTATGTTAGTTGGAGTTACGCATTAATAAGCGAAAATAAAAATATAAATAAATAAAAGTAAGAACAACAAACATTGATATGGAAGCGCCAAAGAGTGACACTATCAAAGTGTGCTTCAATAGAAAAGATGAATGAGAATATATTACAATATTTTGAGTGTTGTGTAATTAACACGTAATATGTATTAATGGAATCAAGATTTAATTATCTAAAAGTTAAGGCTGGGGTCTCAATCAGTCCTAACTAAAACGAAAAGAAACAAACATACATATTTTACCCGTGTCTAAGATGATAGGTGTATTACAATAAATTAATCTAAATAAGTAAAAGTAAAAATTAAAGGATAAAATTTTAGTGAAAATAAACGAAAACTAACATAAAATAATTTTTCGAAAAATATGCAACAAAGTTCCTAGCATTTTAGTGTGCTACATACTATTTTGCCTATGTTTATTCCTTTATTAAATTAAAGCTGAAGATCTGGCTAATTTAAATGTCTTGTAATGTTGAAAGGTAATCAATTACGCAAAAGCCAACAACGGAGAGTGGTCAGTTAAATTAAGCAATTTATATTTGTAACTTGTAACTATTAAAGAAGATATTTATTTGAAAATATAATGAAACAGTGGTCGAATATATTGCTTAAGTTAATTATATTATAGTAAACTACATCCTGTAAAACTTATCCCCATGAACGCCCTTGCGAAGTATAATAAAGTACCAGCATTACAAACCATTACTTAAAAGCATTTCAGCACATTTGAATTCAAACATGCTTATATTTATTACCAGAAGCAAGAAAACCAGCGTAAAAATTAAGCGAAGGATTAAATAATGTCGCCTACATACATACAAGCATATATCCTTACTATATACATTCAGACATACATATGTGCCAACTAAAAGTAAAGAAATAATAAAATTAAATATGAACCAAAAAACTACGGTATGTAAACAAATTCATATTCGATGAAAATTAAATGCGTACATCAAAATCAGGTAAATTACTAATATTCTCACAATTGATAATATTTTTCGCATAGATTTGTACGAATTCAACTTCATAACTTTGTTGTTGCTTTTGCATGACAGTTTTTGGACAAGAGCGCAAAGATAACTACAAGAAACATATTGAATTGAACACTTTTTTTCCGAAAAAAAATGGTACAGGCGCAGTAGTTCTTAGCTTCTTTCGACCAATTCTGAAAAGCAAATGCAACCATTTTTTTACAGCATCGAATTGGAGTTATCTATTCGGTTGACGGTCACGAAACGTCTTATGATTTGGGTTGAGTAAGAAAATACCGAATAATTTCTCAATATTTCATATAAAATATTACTCACATTACCCTTAATTGATGGTCTGCTAATAAGAGATCGAGGATTTTTATTAAGTTATCGCGTTTTGACGCCGTAAACAACATCCAAACACTTATTGATTTTTTAATTTTTCTAAAATCCTCGGACACACGTTGCGCGTTGCCAAAACAAAACCATGTATACTGCACGATATTAAATTTAGGAGGATGCAATGCGAAAGACATGTTCCTGAAATGTAGTGTTTCGGGTTATAAGGTAAAAAAAATCTAGTTTTGCGAATTTATTTCTTAAATATGAATTGAGTAATCTTATTTGGACCTCTTGTACATTATTGAGCACACTTTTAACAATATAGGGTAATTTTTTTTGCATTCGGCGATTTTTACGATGAGTGAAATTATTCAACAAAGTATCTTTAAATATTGTATGTGGAAGCAAATTTCAGTTCAGAATATTGGAAAGGGCCTTCGGTTGTAATTGTTTGTCGCGAGCAAGTGTTTTTGATTAGTACAAATTATTCAAAGAGCGTCGAGAACGCGTTGTAGGCGCATAATCTCCAGGATCTGACTTTAACAACTGTTTCGTGGATTGGAAGAAACGTTTGCAGAAGTGTGTGTAAATGCAGCACTAGTGCTATCATAATTATGAAACACTAACCCAAGAAATTTGCGCCCACGCCCCGACGGAAGAGAAGGACGATGTGACCAAAGATGCCTTTTATGAGTGCTTGGAAAGCACTTATGAGAGCTGCCCCCGCC